CCGGGATTGGCCCAAGCTCCATCTGGAACCTATCAGGTTCCATCAGGCGCCTGGGGCGGTACCATCTTACCGGTTCTGCCTCCCTGCAGCGGGGTGCCGCGGTTCGAAGGTCAAGGCGAAGGAGCGAGTGATCTGACCATGACAAGGGCTCGATGACTATATCCCCTATCTCGAGATCACTCAACCACTGTCCAGAGACAAAAACCAAGTCCAGTGTGTTTCCCACAGTGTGCGTAGGGCCATGAATTAGTTGGGTCAGGTCCATGGCCGTCATGGAAGCCATGAACTCACGAGCCACCTCAGACGCCTCACCCACGGATGGCAGGTTGAAATCCCCCATGACCATAAGTCTGGGGGTATCAACCGCCACCGCGGCAATAACGTTGAGTAGCTCAGGCAGGGCTGCCGCCACGTGGCAGGGAGCCAGGTACGTGATCAGCAAACCCATCTGAACCCCGTGGCCCCACTTCACAAGGAGGGACTCACAACCAGCTGTCTGAGGTACAGTGGTCTCCCTCGGCCTAAGGCCTTCTCTAATAATAACTGCTACTCCCCCGCCCCTCCCCTGTGACCTTGGCTGATGGAATGCGTGGTTTTAAATTGTTTCTAACTTTTGTATTTATGTATTTTATTCTGTGCCTGATCACCGCCCTGAGTCCTTCGGGAGTAGGGCGGTATATAAATTTAATAAAACAAACATAAAACAAACATTCCCTCCCCACTCCAGGGGAAGGATACCGTAAAATCCCCATTTCCTCCCAATCAGCTGGGACTCGGGAGGCAGAGAATAGATGTGGGTGGGGCCAGTCAGAATTTTTACTACCGGTTCTCTGAACTACTCAAAATTTCCGCTACCGGTTCTCCAGAACTGGTCAGAACCTGCTGAAACCCACCTCTGTCCAAGAATCCTTCCAGCTCTATTCTACTTTATTCTACTTTGTTTCAGAAATCAACTAAGCAAGGTCAGATCTTCACATGTGGAGAATTGTTAGCTTTTTCATTGAAGGGTTGCTTTATTCTGGACTCACCCACCTTCCTGAGAGGAGAACGTGCCTTCTGCACAGGGTACACAGTCATAGCAGCAAATGGGCTTCCCTTCCTGACCCACCTTGAAAAATCCAGACTGACAACTGTCCACACATCTGGAGGGAGGCAGACTCTACATGGAAAAAGAGGGATTGTAAAGGAATACAGTTTTATGAAGGATTATGGAGGGAGAGTTGGAAAGATTCAAAGAGTTGTTTAGCAACCGGTCATACTTGATTTAAATTAATGCCTGTAACAGATCTTCTTCTAAAATAAGCAAAGTCAATGGGGAAGCCAGATTCATTTAACAATCATGTTACTAACTTAACAACTTCAGTGATTCACTTAACTTAAATGGGCCAACCTTACTTAACAACTGTCTTGCTTAACAACAGGAATTTTGAGCTCAAATGTGGTCATAAGTCGAGGACCTGTATTCTGAAACACTGTAAACTTTTAAAGACTATTTGAAAGACACTCCACGGATAATCTATTATAGATTTCGGAAGGGTGGTAACCCAAAATAGAAATGTTCTGAATGAAATTCCCCCCCCCCACCTTGTTAAACCATTTTGGCCAAATAATGGCATCCTGGTCAATGATAAACTTGGGCTCCTGAGATCTCTGTCTTGCGAAACTCCCGAATTTCACTTTGACTAGTGACCCGTTGGGAAACTTTATCCAGTTCATAAGGTCAAAGTCAGCTGCCAGCTCTCCATTCTTGTCCAGATACACCCCATCCATGACATTGTTGTGAAACTGGGGCTCTTGGAGAAAGGGGTGAAACTGGAATAGTAAGAAGAAGAAGATCATCAATAAAACCCCTGCAGCTTTTCATGGAGGAAACGGCGGTTTTGAGTTTAGAGATTCCATTCTAAAGCTTGGATCTTCTGACTCATTAGAACAGGGGTGTCAAACTCAATTTCATTGTGGGCCACATCAGGGCTGTGGTTGAACTCAGGGAGCTTGGTGGGCGTGGCTGGAGTGGGTGTGGCCAACTGAGTGGGCATGGCCATCTTGATGTCACTCACTGAGCGTGGCACCAGGCTGGGCACTGAGCTGAGAGGTGAAGAGCTGAAGACGCTGTGCTTGCGCAGGTCAGGTGAACAGGCTAGGTGGGGTTAGGCCAACAAACTGCAGCTGGCCAGTCTGGCTGTCTGTTGCCAGGCAGACTGGCCAGTTGTTGCTGGGCAGGCTACCCAGCAGTTGCCGGGCACACTGACCAGCTACCTAGACCTGTCCAGCCTGTTAGCCTGGCCTGCGCAAGCACAGACTCTTCAGCTCTTCGCTGGGCCTCTCACCTGAGTGCCCAGGCTAGTCTGATGTTTCCTCTTCACATTGAGTAGACCGTGCCTGCTAGAATTGGGTAGACTGGGCCGAAGCAGTTCTTGCCTGATTTTTCCTCTTTGCATTGGGTAGACTGGGCCTGACGGGATTGGGTAGACCGGAACAGTCCCATGGGCCGGATCTGATCACATCCGGCCCGCAGGCCTTGTGTTTGATACCCCTTTACTAGAAGAATAAAGTCAAGTCAAACACTGTCCTTGGTTATTTCATAGACCAGTGGTTCTTAACCTTTTCTTCACCACAGACCCCCTTTAAATACCTTTTGGGGCCAAGGACCCCCAAGACCTAACTCATAACATTTCTTCAAGCTTTTGCAGACCCCTTGTGATGACATCGCAGCCTCCCAGGTGTCCACAGGCCACAGGTGGAGAACCACCGTCATAGAAACATTGATGACATTTTTCTGGAAGGACCTGGAAACTTCTTTCCGATTTTCAAACTTAAAACTTCTTTTCAAATTCTCTGTTTAGCCCATAGTCTTCAGATATCATAGTGGTTCTCATCCACCTACTCGCCAGGCCAAACCTCATCTAGTTTCCCAATGTAGACATGGTTTGCCTGGTCAGAGTCCTTCTCAATAATGATTCATTTGCAAATGTCTTCATGTTTAAAGGGGGGAAATTTTGTTAAGGAATACCTTTCACCATGATAAACAATTTAGAAGATAAAGTCCTTAGATATAGAAATAGAATAACAGAGTTGGAAGGGCTCTTCTAGTCCAACTCCCCCGCTCCTGGCACGCGATGGCCCAGTAGGCCCATTTTTCTTTCTCACCTGGCTCCAGATCCTCTCTATGCATCTGGGGAGGGCGAAAACAGCCTTCCTCATCCCCTCAGAGGTCCTCCGGAGTCCTGAAATGGCCCATTTCCCAACTCCCGGTGGGACAGGAAGTGACGCTTTTTGCTGTCCCCAGCCTCCAGAGACTCCTAGAGAGGCTCTGGAGGCTGGGGACAGCAAAAAAATGTCACTTCCTGTCCCACCGGGAGTTGGGAAATGGGCCATTTCACGATTCGGGAGGGACTCCAAGGGAATGGGAAAGGCTGTTTTCCCCCTCCCCAGATGCATAGAGAGGATCTGGAGCTAGGTGAGAAAGAAAAACGGGCCTTCTCCACCCCCCAGGCCTTCCGGAGGCAGGAAACAGCCTGTTTCCCTACTTCTGGTGGGCCCAGAAGGCCCCAAAATCAGCTGACCAGTGCACACATGTGTGCCAGAGCTGAGCTGGCATGCCCATCTATATGGCTACGCATGCCACCTGTGGCACACGTGCCATAGGTTCGCCATCACAGCCCTAGACCATTTCCAGACAAGTGGTGTCCAGTCTTTTCTTAAAAATTTCTAGTGATGGAGCACCCAGAACTTCTGAAGGCAATTCATTCAACTGGTTAATTGTTCTCAGCTTTAAGAAATTTTTCCTTAGTTCTAGGTTGTTTGGTTAGTTTCCATCCATGGCTTTTTGTCTTGCCTTCTGATGCTTTGGAGAATAGGTTGACCTCCTATTCTTTGTGGCAGCCCTTTAAACATTGACACACTGCTATCAAGTCACTCCTAGGCCTTCTTTTCACTAGACTAGACATACCTGTCAGATGTAAATGCCTTATTCTCCAATGTGTAAATAATGTATATATGGAACATCAGAGGTTAACTTATTCTTTGGACTTTAATGTATTCATAACTTACCACTCCCATTCCTAGCTCCACCCCTTGTATATATAAGGAGCCACCCTCACCATTCTCGTCGCTTCTACCTTGAATATTCAGTGAATATAGAATGCCTATCATAATTAAAAAGAAATATATTTAAAGCTCTAACTCCTATTATCTTTATTGAGTCTGATCCTGAAAATATTGCAACAATACCCAATTCCTCCAATTGTTCTTCATACATTTTAGCCTCCAGCCCCCTAATCATCCTTGTTGCTCTTCCCTTTTTCTAGAATCTCTACATCTTTTTTTTTAATATGGTGGCCAAAACTGGATGCAGTATTTAAGTATGGTCTTACTAAGGCCTCATACCTGCCAAGGTTGTAGCTTTTCCAGGTTCAAGAATTTCCTTCCTTCCTTCAGTGTTCTCCACTTGGATGTGGAGATATAGGCAGTACTTAGCATTCGTGCCAGAGCATAGATGGAATTGTAAATGTGATGGTTGTTGAGAGAAAGGATTTCTTCAATCTTCTCTTGTGCTAACATTTCCAGGTGTTCTTTCTCCTTGCACCTAGCCCAGCTTTTAATAGTAAAGGGATGCTTTTGAAATGAGCATGAAAAAGCTTTGTTGGCAAACTCAGTGGTTAAAAAAGAAAGGAGGTAAACGTTCTCGTATTTTATCCAGTTTTTGGTCTGGATGGAGAAGGTGAAAATACTGTCCACATAGTGGAAGATGTCATACCTCAAATTCAAAGTGAGATCCCACATGGCTGTTACTATCCAGATTTTCCCTGAAGATTTTAAAAAGTGTTGAAATAGTTGATCTATCATACGTATTCCATAGAAATAGTGAGTTTGCAACATAGATTCGGCGTAGTAAATAAACACGTTGACTTGTTTCCATTTCAAAAATAAATCAGCTTGGATGTTAAACAGATTCATACTGAACCCTGATAAACTTTGTGAGAAAAGAGGACAAATGTTACTCTGTATGAGTAAAGGAGTGAAATTTTTCATGAACATTTCTCCGTTATCAGTTTGGGAAGCGACAAGAGCCACTGATGTCCATCCGAAATACTGGATCACTTTAACGATCCCTGTGTATTGGATTCTTTCTTTTGGAAGCATCCGGTAGAAAAAAGGAAAACGGTTTTTATCATTCATACCATCAGAGACAAATGCATAAGAGATCTGCAGAAAAATGGAAACACTTGGTAATAACCAGGGAAATCAGATTTTGTATTTGATCTCTCGTAATTATAATTGGAAAATAATGGCCCAAATGAGGAAGGATTCCACCAATGTTAAGGAAGATGCTTTGTGGAAAATACGGATTTGTTGTACCACAATAGGCTATAAGAAAGAAAAGTTGATATATAATAAAAAATCAACTGTTTTCCACTGTATATTTCTAAACTTTCAATAAGTTAATATATAGTTTAATATATTGATTAGTTATATGTGATAATTTTTTTTCTGATAGAATGTTCTCCCGATGAAGTGAACATTCCTGTGTTAGAAAAAGTAGGACATCAGCCATATAAAGGTAAAGATTTCCCCATGTCTAATCATGTCCAACTCTAGGGGATGCTGATCTTCTCAATTCATTGGCCGAGGGAGCCAGCATTGTCCGAAGACACTTCTGTGGTCATAGCCAACATGATTTTATATTGAGGTGTACTGAACGCAGTTACCATTGAAATGATACCTATTTATCTACTTGCGTTTGCATGCTTTTGAACTGCTAGGTTGGCAGGAGTTTGGCCAGAACAGGCACTTATCTTGTTGTATGGTATTTGGATCTTGAACCTTCTGATCAACAAGCCTTGCACCTTAACTGCTAGGATTCTTTAATATTCTCCCACTCCTGATAGAAAGCAACTTCCCAGCCCATTCATTCCACTTACCCAATGTCTTTCATAAAACCAAGGAACACAACTCAGACTGGAGACCTGCTCATTTCTTAAGGACATCCATGAACAATCAAAGACTTTCCTTTCATATGTAGCCATGAATGTGCCATGATCATCTGATTGACAGCATTTCTATGGGGGAAGCTATCTCAGAAACTTACTGCTCATCAAAGAATTCAGATTGGGGTCAGTGCCCTTAGGCTTATGTCATTATCTACAATATTGTTATATGATGTCATATATGATATGTTGCTTCTACAAAATTGTATTTCACACTCTTACAGAAACAATTTAATGTCTCTACTCCAACTTTAGACATCTTCTGTCCACTTGTGGAATATTCTGGGAAATTTCAGAGCAGAAATCAACCAAATGCTTGAATCCCTAACTTTTTATGCTTACCTGTGGGATTTTGTAGATGTCCAGCATGGTTGCCATATGTTGGGAGAGGTCAGAATCAGTCCCTTCAAGGACAGCCAGGAGATTTTTCTGCCTTCCGCATTTGTAGTTTGGAATATTTGCCTCCCCATCAGAAAGCCGATCCACCAAGGCTTCAGCATTCATTTTTGCATTGAAATGACTATCATGGAGGTCGTAGCCCAGGGAGATGTTGGGTAAGATCAGAGAATTCTGGTTGATCTCCCTGACAGAAATCAAGAAGGACAAGAGGTACCACGCATTTAGTTTTCCATGCCTGCAAAATGGATTATGTATTCCTCATTATTCCACATTTAAGAATAATACTATAATAATTTATTGGTTTCTTGACTTAAAGAGGCAAAAATAAAGATTTTAATTCAGGAAAGCAAATACGATGTTATAGAAATCAATGAAAATTGATTGAGATCACCCCCACCATGGGTATATAGTAATGGTGAACCTTTTAGAGACCGAGTGCCCAAGCTTCAACCCAAAATCCATTTATTTATCACAAAGTGCCAACACGTCAATTTAATCTGAATACTGAGGTTTTACTACCTAAAATAATGATAAACAAGATAGAGTTCAGCTAATTGTTCTAAGAAAAACTTGATAAATTGCACTTTTATGCCCCTTCATTTTTTTCTGCTTTTGAAATATTACGTTTAGCAATAATAAAAAAGAAAAACTTTTGTAATATCATTTCTCTTTCCCTCCCCCTCTCTCTCTTCATCCCCTCTCTCTTTCTCTCTCTGTTTTTCTCTCTTTCTCTCTTTCCCTCCCTCTCTCCCTTTTTCTCTCTCTCTCTCTTCCCCTCTCTTTCCCTGGAGAAACCCGATGGAGCTGGGCTGGGGCGACAGCAGGCGTGCCCACAGAGAGGGCTCTGTGTGCCACCTCTGGCACGTGTGCCATAGATTCGCCACCATGGGTATATAGGCTACAATGTTTTATACACTATTTAAAAAAGGAAAAATACAGAAGGCTTTTAAAACAATGAATTAATTTCTGCTGATGTCTTATTATAAATTCGAGTGGTAGGTGAGTATAAAAAAAACCCAATGTTGCTTAGTTTAAATTAACCAAAGTTGAGAAACACTGATCTTAACTAAGAAGCAAGCAATAGAAGAAATTCTGTATGTCTTCCTAAAAATAATAAAATAACAGAGTTGGAAGGGACTTTGGAGGTCTTCTAGTCCAACCCTTGGCACAAACAGGAAACCCTGTACCAATTCAGACAAATGATTTTCCAATCTCTAGGGCTGGAGCACCTACAACTTCTGCAGAAAAAGTCATTCCACTGATTAATTGTTCTGTCAGGAAATTTCTCTTTAGAGAAATTTCTCTAGATTGGTCTCTCCTTGTTTAGTTTCCATCCATTGCTTTTTGTATTGCCTTCTGGTGCTTTGGGGAAGAGGTTGTTAAGGATATTGTTGTTGTGTTACCAACCAGCAGAGTGTAGAGCACAGAGAAACGTTGCTGAGAGCAATGAATAAGAGATGTGCAAACTGGTTTATCAAAAGTTTACTTTATAGTGGAAAAACAATCTCATAGTCTTCGAATCAATCCAAGTCTTTGCCAGTAAATCAGTCCAGTAATACAAAATCTTCTTACCACACAAACAGTAGTTGGTTAGAATAACAAACTCAGTCTGGTTCACAAACCACGATGGTAGCAGATCCATCCAACCGATGATAGCACAATGGTTGCAACTCCACACACAATGGTAGCTTATCATCAACTGAATACGTTACAGTACCTTCCTTAAATACGTTCACAACTAATTACAGCATGACTCAGCGTTACAATGAATCAGCAAGAAAACTTGAAAGTCACACAATACATATTCATATTAAAGTCACAGAACACATATATTGCCTGTGCAACTTGTTAGGCTCAAACCATATCCTAACAGAGGTTGACCCCCTCTTCTTTGTGGCAGCCCCTTAGGCATTGGAACACTGCTACCATGTCAGACCTAGTCCTTCTTTTCACTAGACCAGACATACCCAATTTCTACAACTGTTTGTTTTAGCCTTCAGTCCCCAAATCACCTTTGTTGCTTTTCTCTGCACTCTTTCTAGAGTCTCAACATCTTTTTCATATTGTGGTGATCAAAACTGGATGCAATATTCCATGTGTGGTCTTACCAAAGCATTGTAAAGTGGTATTAACACTTCACGTGATTGTGATTCTATCCCTCTATTAATACAGCCTGGGAATGTGTTGGCTTTTTTGGCAGCTGCACACACTGCTAGCTCATATTCAAGTGATGGTTCATCAAGATCCCTCTTACAGTTACTACTGTTGAGCTAGGTGCCACCTATTTTACACTTGTGCATTTGCCTTTGCTTGCCTAAATGTAAAACCTTACTTTTCTCTACATTGAATTGCATTTTGTTAGCTAGGGCCCAGTGTTCAAGTTTATGATCCTTCTGTATCTTGAGCTTGTCTTCTGGGGTGTTGGCTATTCCTGCCAGTTTGGTGTCACCTGCAAATTTGATGAGTTCCCCTTCTATCTCCTCATCTAAGTCCTTGATGAAGGCATTGAAGAGTACTGGGCCTAAGACCGAGCCATGGGGTACCCCACTGCTCAATATTAGAACTAAAACATTAGCAAGTAAATAAAATTGAAGCTTTTTAAAAAAAGATTTTTGGAAATCCTATCATAGCTAACTTTCTAACAATAACTATACCTGCAGCTTGTAATATTATTTTCTTCTTCAAAACAGCACAGTTTCACATTCATTCACATACTAAATGAACCAGTACCAGTTCTGAGATTTAGATATTTTCATTTGAATTTTATCATCCTAAATAATTTCCGATTTGCAATAGTGGCAAATTTCAGATTATTAACAAAAACCACCTGCTCACTGATCATTTCTTGATTTAAGTCATGTTTAAGGCATTAGAAATCCACAGATGTCATGTCTATCTTCCCTCATGAAAATTGCTCTAATTTTCGGCGACTGATCGTGATCAGTTCGTAAAAGCTGAGCATGAATTTTGCTCCCCCTCCTTCTGTGACCACCAATTTTCATGTTTTTCATCCCCCAATTCCTCTCTGCTGATCTACACTAACACTCATAGTTAGGTGGAAAGTTAGCTGTGTTTGGGTTTCTTTATTGGGCTTTGAAAACTCTTTTGTGGAACCAGCTTCAGAAAGAGGAGACAAATTCATCCGAGGGGAATTAGGAAATGTAATATTTGGTGGGATTGGAACATCATGTCACTTGCCAAGATGAAGCGGGGAGGAGGTAGGGCACTGCATCTACCCTGCCTTCTTTCTCTCACAAAGTTTGAACAGCAGAATTGAGATGGTACTTCATTTTTTAAAAGAAAGTCTGGGCTTCCTAAATACTTTACCAATTCCTCTCCTCTCCCACCTTGGTGATCCTTATTTCCCATGCAAGCCCGCCTAAGCCCATGTCTGAAAAATTGAACCGAACACCTTCCGTCATTTCCAAGTTAGGAAAAGTGTGAGAAGACCATGTTTCAGACGACATAAACCAGGGATGTCAAACTTGCAACTCGTGGGCCGGCTGCATCATGTGCTGGCCACGTCCTCCCCCGGTTTAGCGAAGTCATGATATGTCACATGACGACAACGTGATGCCACAAGTTTGTCAGCCCTGACATAAATGAAGTGTGAAACTACTACATAAAGAAAAGATCAGGAGGAAGTTACCAATCCGAGTTTTGGAGGTTAAAAAAACAAAACAAAATGAAACAAGAAATCACCAATTTGGTCCTGTGGCCAATTTCCAGAGGGCTCCAACCTCATATTTTGTTTTTACATTTATTTGATTGATTGATTGATTGATTGATTTCTATAGCTGCTTATCTCAACAGGTGACCCTAGGGGGCATAGCATCCTAAAAACATAAAACAATGGAAAATAAATATATAGGGTTGCCAACTAAAAATATTTATGTATTTAATTTCTACAGCCGCCCATCTCAATCAATGATTCTGGAAGGCTTACAATTCAAAATAGGTATTACAACCACAGTATTAAAAACATTTTAAAACAATAGAAACATTCAGAATAAATATACATAGGAATCGAGAGACTTGGCTAGTTGACAAATCCATCAGGAAACTATTGCCATAGATGTTAATAGAGCCAACAAATGGGGCCCTTAACACATTCCAATTTAAGAGGTACCACATAAGAAGAGGCCAAAGAAAATGAGCAATAATAATAATAATAATAATAATAATAATAATAATAATAATAATAATAATAATAAACCAACTCTAAATAATCTAGTAACTTCATCCCCAAGCAGAGAAATTTCTGGGGAGATATTGACTGACCAGAGAAAATGTTGCTTGGAGGGAGTCACCTTGAAGCTGTAAAGTGGACACAGAGCTTTTCTTGCTGTGATGACCCCACCAATATGGTAGTCGCCTGGTCTGAAATAGGTTTTCCAGTTTTGTTCGGAATAGTGGGATGAAACCAAAAAGCATTTTGCCTTCTGCATCTCACAGCTTATCTGGGGAAGCAGGGACACAAAAAGGAGAATCATTCTTCTTGTGTCTGGCACTCCCTCCTTTCAAACAGATAGAACAGATTCAACAGAATAACAGAGTTGGGAGGGATCTTGAAGGTTTCCTTGTCCGACCCCCTGCTCAATTATAAAGAAGATTAGTTTTTGTCCGGGTCTGATAGCTTGGTGGCTTTTTTTGATGCAAAGGGAATCCAGAAGATGATTTATGGTCTTTCCAAAGGGGATCCTAGGGAAGCAATCTTTCTCATGCGCTTGGGCTTCAGCTCTAATTCTCACTAGTCCTGAAGGCACTTAAGGATTGCTCTTTAACCATGCTGTTATTCCCCCTCTGTTCTAAGGAGGTCAAATCCTTGGAGATTTGTAAAGGAGACAAAACAAATTATTATCGTTTTAAAAAATCTCAGGACGTCCTGAATTTGCTCTGGGGTTATAGATGGAGTCCAAAGTTCCCAGGTGTGGCTTCCTCTTCCCCAATGTTCTTTTTTTTTTTTTTTTTTGGGTAGGGAAGAAGTTTAGCTGCCTTTTCAACATAGAAACTGACTCTGAAGTACATGGCATTTTAGGATACTTCAGTGGCCCCCAATTTTTGGGGGGACCAGGGACTGGTTCCATGGAGAGTGGATTTTCCATGGACCGGAAGGGGAGTGGTTTCGTGTGCTGCCTGCATCTACAGATGGGGCTTCAGTTGTTTGCATAGCCCAATTTCTGGCATGCCACAGCCTGGTGCTGGTCCATAGACTGGGAGTGGGGACTCCTGAGATACTTGATCTCATAGATTTGAAGCAGTGGTGGGTTTCACTTACCTTTGCTTTGGTAGAAGCTTCTGCACATGCGCAGAGGGTATTTGATGACGTCCGGGGAGGTTGGTGGAGCCTCCCGCCACCTCTACTACTCATTCGCCCAAATGGGTCGAACCAGTAGCAACCCACCACTGATTTGAAGGTCTTATATAGGAATAGGTTAATAGGACTGAAATTTGATAGTTGTTACATTTTGTGACAACACTGCCAAGAATGTTCCATTCTTCCCATAGTTCCTTTCTAAATGATGACATTCAAATGGGGTGGTGGTGGTGCACATAAAAAGACTGTGGCCATCCCATAGCTGACATTATTTTGGAACTGAGGAAAACTTCTGGAATCACCTACCTTCCATTCAGGTCCTGATGCTGTGGAGTATGGAACTCAGTTTCACAGGGCTGCCCTATCGGCATTGTGCTAACATTACCAGCATCCCTATCCCAGGTTCTCTCTATGAAATCTCCTAGGCTCTTTCTTTTTTTTTTCTTTTTTCACTTTTTTACAGACCCCTTATTTACCCCTTATTTGCAGACCCCTCGCATCTTGGACATAAATTGTGTCAGCTCCTATCCTCAAAACGATGCTATAGAGCAGTGATGGTGAACCTTTTTCTTGTTGTTTGCCAAAAGTGTGTGTGGGTGCGCATGACAGCACACTCGCATTACAGCACCCATAATGCAATGCGAACCCCCCCCCACATGTGCATGTGCGCATGACCCCCCACTCCTCCCACGCATGTACCCCACTGCACATGCATGCACGCTTTGTGCATGCGTGCCCCCACACATGCATTTCACACACGAGGAGCGCGAGGTGGGCAGGCCGTTTGCACCAGCAAAGGTTGGTGCAACCCTCTCCTACTAAGGAGCATGACCGCTTCCTGGCCGGCATGCCTCTTACCACTTACTGCGACCACTTCCTGGCTGTGGATCTCCATGAGTGAGGAGCTGCGCTCTCTTCCGGTCCTCCTGGGGCAGCTTACCTCCCCACCAGTGGCTTCTCCTTCTCCTGGCTGCTCCAGGAGGAGCCTCTATCTCTTAGCTGGCATGAATGGCCTGCCACCGCAGCCTGCCACGACCCTCTCTGCCCTGCCGGCTGCTCTGGCGCCTCCAGGAAAATGGCAGCATGAGAACCGCCGTTGCCGGGGGCAATGGAGTGGCGGCAGCAGGAGCAGCGGACGTGGGGGGAGAGAGGGCTAGCTGGATGCCCTACTGGTGGCTTCCCTCCTAAGGAGAGTGATTACAGGTCTAAAAGGAGATGCGATGGCCAGGAGTGCTGTGAAGAACAAACTTGGCTAATTTGTGCAGGAGCCAAGAAAAGTGCCTTCCTCCAGTTGCTGGAAGTAAACGGTGGCTCTGCGCAGCTGCCCGAAAAACTTTTCTCCCGACGGCCGTTCTCTTTTGCATGCTCAGAGCCCCATGCCGCTGAAACGCGAGGGGCTGCATTGCGGTCTTGCCCACCTTCCCCCCACAGCAAACTACCAGTCTGGAATTCACCAGTCTGGCAGTCTGTTACTCTGTTTTTCCAGAGGCTGCCGGAGCTCCGGCTTTCTTCCCTCGATCCTTTCCCCTCCTCCTCAAGCGAAGAGTATTGTGGGGGGGGGGGTGTCTCGAAGAAAGGATAAAGTTTGCTTATTTAAAGAGGATACACCTCTGGTGTGAACATCACACCCCCTGGAAGGCTTGGTCGCTCTGGTCGCTCTCTTAGAGTGGGCTGCCTGTGAACAGTTGAGATAATTTTGAAAAGACCTTCGAAGCCTGCCCTTCAGTTGCTTTCGAGTTTGGAAAAATGTTTAACAGAGTAAACAGACCGCCAGAGCTCTGGCTTTCTTCCCTCAATCCTTTCCCCTCCTCAGGGGAGAACTGGTTCGGTGACATCATATCGTCACCGCTACCAGCTCGGCCGAACCGGACCGAACCGGGAGGAACCCACCACTGCTCTAGTCCTTCTTTTCCATCAGGTGGCTGGTTGTAACCTGAATTCCACAACTGTATTACTGTACTTAAAGTAGTTGACATGTTCAATGTGGAGACTGTGATGAAATTGAGTAGCCTGGGCTTTGTGTTTGAATCTGACTCTTGTGTTTCAACATGGCAAGCTGATCACTACATATAACACTGGAACCCAGTCAGTCCCTATTCATTTGCCCGTGGGCTGTTGAGAGGTACATCAGAAAGCAGCAGTCCCGGCTGTTCAGGAGGAAATGGGGATTTTGCAGTAACCTTCCCTTGGAGTGGGGAGGGAATGGAGATTTTACAGTATCCTCCCCAAGGGTGGGTTCTACTTACTTTTACTACCAGTTTGCAGTGGGGCCACGCAGAAGCATTTTGATGACGTCGGGGTCGGTGGGCGGAGCCTCCCACCGGTTTTACTACCGGTTCTATAGAACCGGTGCGAACCGGGGGCAACCCACCACTGAACCTTTCCCTGGAGTGGGGTGGGAATGGAGATTTTACAGTATCTGTCATGCCCACAGAACCGGTAGTAAAAAAATTTGAATCCCACCACTGGGTTCCAATCATGCGGAAACTGCAGGAGATGTGAAGTCACTCAGATCACCAGGCCCTGTGCCATGTAGGGCTTCATAGATAATAACTAGCACTTTGAATCACATCCAGAAGCAAACTGGCATCCAGTGCAACTCACAAGCAGAGGTGTCACATGCGCATATTGAGGTAAGCCCATCATTGTCTGCATTCTGGGCCAGCTGAAGCTTCCACATGGACTTCAAGGTCAGTCTCATGCAGTGTTACAGTGGTTGACCTGTGAAATTACAAGTCTGTGATGAACTGGAGGGCAGTTTGTTTCAAGGAAGGGCACAAATGGAGGTTTGCAAAGGTCTTGTTGGCCATAACTGCCACCTGGTCTTCAAGTTGGAACTATGAGTCCAATAAGATCCCTGAGTTGCACGCTACTTTTGATTGGGGAATGCAACCCCATCCAGAAGTAAGGCTGGAAAATATCCAAACCAAGGTGGTCAATCATAGGTACTTGATTTTGGTAGGACAGAGACCTCTGAGTTGCCAGGGTTGGTTTCATCCAAGTCTCAACAACCTTCAGGCCCTGCAACACAGCTTTGACAGCCCCACTTGGATGGCCTGGAGTTGAACATTGTAATTAAATGTCACCAGTATATTGACAATACTATACCTCAAACCAGGGGTGAAATCCAGTAGGTTCTGACAGGTTCTGGAGAACCAGTAGCAGAAATTTTGAGTAGTTTGGAGAATCGGCAAATACCACCTCTGGCTGGCCCCAGAGTGAGGTGGGAATGGAGATTTTGCAGTATCCTTCCCCACCAATATGGGGTGGGGAATGTATGCCCACCAAGCCACGCCTACAGAACCGGTAGTAAAAAAAATTGGATTTCACTACTGCCTCAAACTGGCAGATGACCTCATCCAACAGTTTTGGGTAGATGTTGAACAGGCTAGGAGGGAGGATTGAATCCTGTAGCACCCCATATAGGAGAGCAAATTCTTCATTTCACTGGAATTGGCTGTGAAGGAAGGAAGAGAACTACTGTTATATGGTGCCCTGTCATCAGGGGTTCTCTGGATTTGGCTGTTTTCTTGCAGACATTTCGATACCCAAACTAGGTAATAGTCATCATCATCAGACACTAGCAGTGATGATGTTACCTAGTTTGGATAATGAAACATCTGCAAGAAAACTCCCAAGCTCAGAGAGCACCAAGGATCATTTCAACTTCTGATCTACAAATAATCTCCTTCCTTGGTATGCTGGCATCCTTTCTGAGCTGCAGGATGTAGAAGATAGCACTCTCAAACTCTATTGAAGAAGGTGACATTTTTTTTAAAAAAATAGGTTCCCGTAATGCAGTTTTGTATTTTATTCTGTTCCAGAGCTGAACATTTCTAAATAATGGTGATTTACTTGGCCTTCATAATGAATCTCCAGGGATTTTCCCCAAGATTGCCTTTGAAACAAACATCAGAACAGAACATTGGATGACGTCTCGTCTCCAGGTCTGAAGGTGTATCATCCTATATGCCTCCTGGACCACCGAGAGTTGAAACTGAAGACAAGGACACATGAAGAGGGTTTAGTCTCTAAGATCTCCTTCAGACATAAAGCTTTCCTTGGGTTTCCTTTCAATCAGGAAAGTCATCAAAGCCGCAGAACTGAGCTCCATCTGATCCTTCTTAAAATGGCTTCAGATGAGTCAGTGGCTATGCCAGAAATGCACATAATGGTTCTCCTTTTTCTGCTACTGCTTGCCCAGGTATCCTGGGAGAGTCCACAAAGAAAATGCCCCTTGACTTTAAAAGAACATGGAAAATTCTGGAGAAATCATTTCAAGCCAGGCCATTATGTCATTGGTGGAGTAATTTCGGCAAGGAAAGCGGTACGATCAATTTACAATTTCAACGTGATCCCCTCCAGCAAATTTTTTCTCTGGTGAGTCATTATGTGGAGGTCACTTTGCTGTCAATCCATTTCCTACTGATTTTACTTTTTCTCTTTTCTCTTTACCTACATTGCTATTGGAAATGACAAAGGTTTGGGGATTTATCAAGATTAAGGGATTGCCAAGAGTGCTGCTTTTTCCTTCAAACCCTGCAATTGGTCAGATTTCTTTAAAATCTGCTTAAAGAACATTGCTCCATAACTTTCAAGTGTGAAGCAAAAAGTCTAGTGTTCTGATCAGGGAGATCCATAATTCCGAGGTAAAGCTCTCACTGATTTTCTATTCATATGCAAATCTAAATTTGGCGCAGTTTGAAGTAGCACAACATCTTCAGATTTCCCCTTCTCAGAATTTTCCTAACGTTGAAAAAGAAGAATAATGTTCCTTTCCTTTGCTATGCAAACTGTATGCAGCCAAATGTAGAAGAGAACTTGCAGCACAAATAAAGAAACACCAGAGAGGGTGACCGTCAGAAAAACTGGGGAGTTACGATTATCTCTGTTGTGATATGCAAAGCTGCATCTAGCAGGAAAGAGAAAGTGCTAAGTGGCAGTGGTGGTGTTTTTCCAATTGCAGACTATTGAATTATGGTTGAATTTACACTGCAGAATAGCAGAGAGAGAGGGGGGGGAGGGAGGGAGGGAGGGAGAGAGAGAGAGAGAGAGAGAGAGAGAGAGAGAGAGAGAGAGAGAGAGAAAAGAGAGGGCAAACATTGGAAACCGATAATCATAGCAAGGAGACAGTTCTGTTGAGGCCAATTCGCTACTTCAGACTTTTGCAGCTGAACCTGAGTGGTTGCCTGAAATGAGGGACATATTTTCCACTGGATGAAAATTAGGCATGGCAATCCATATCTAAGATAAATATGACAGATTCCGAATGCAAAGTTCTTCAAAAACTTAGTTACAGCTGGGAATCACCTCATTTAGAGGTAGACATGGAATATTTCTTCCATTGCTTAGTTTTTAATTTGGAGTTTGAATACTTCAAAATTAAGTAGAAGAGATCGGCGTAAGTCTCTTGACTGTATAAACAGAGGCATAGAATGAAAATCATGTCAAGTAATAGTTCCGCTTTATGAAACTTTAGTAAGACCAGACCTGGACTACTGAACCCATTTGTGGTCGCCACATTACAAAAAAGATGTTGAGACTTTGGAAAAAGGGCAAAGATGAGCAACTAAGACGATTAAAGGCCTGGAGAAGAACAGATGCAGGACCTGGGTTTGGCTGGTCTGGAGAAAAGAAGAACGAGGGGTGACGTGATAGCAACATTTCAGTGTTTGAGGGGCTGCCACAAAGAAGACGGAGTCCACCTATTTTCCAGAGCACCAGAGGACAGGACAAGAAACAATGGATACAAAACTAATCAAGGAGAGAAGCAGCCTGGAATTAAGGAGAAACTTCCTAACACTGAGAACAATTAATCAGTGGAACAGCTTCCCTTCAGAAGTCCTGGGTGCTTCAATGATGGAGATTTTAAAGAAGGGAATGGGCAGCCACTTTTCTGAAATGGTATAGGACAGTGATGGCTAACCTTTTTGTTACTGTGTGCCGGAGCGCTTGCATCCATAATGCAATGCGTGCGTGACCCCCCCCCCCCCCCCCACCCCCCCCCCTACCAAAACCTGTGCTTCTCCCCCCTCCGTCCATATGCACACGACCCCCCCACGCTCCCCCCACCCCATTTTGGGCCTTGTAGGCCTCTCTGCAGCCTCCTGGGAGCAAAAACGGCCCATGGGGGGGCTGCACTGCACCCCCCGTACCCCGTTTTGGTCCTAGTAGGCCTCCCTGCACTTATAACTCATAATGCAATGCGTGCTCGACCCCCACCCCCCTGAGCACTCCCTGGCCTGCCCCATGCATGCGCGCACGTCTCCCATGAGTCCCCCGCACATGCACGGCAGGGACCCAAAAATCAACTTGCTGGCAGGAGGCGCGCATGCATGCCCCTGACCTGGGGCAATGGCTCCATGCCTGCAGAGGGCTCTGTGTTCCACCTGTGGCACAGGTGCTATAGGTTCGCCATCGTGGGTATAGGGTCTCCTGCTTGAGCTGGGGGTTGGATTAGAAGACCTCCAAGGTCCTTTCCAGCTCTATTCTAAATTCTAAATAATTTAATTAATCTTCTCAGCAATTCCTCTTTTCAGATATTGTGTCACATTGTAGCCATTGGGATAACTGTGAATGTCATCCCTTTCCAGTTCCATGCATGCTTGTCATGTCCTATTTACCTTCCTGAGTTAAGATCTTTATGTATCTCCATTTAAGTCAAAGAAGCAAGAAGTAAATATGACATTGATATTGAATTTGGACAGTGATGTGATACATAATTTCTACAGGCATCAAAGACAGGAAAACTGGCATCTCCTCTCCTTCTTGATTGCCATCCGTGAGATCAACCAGAACCCTCTGATCCTACCCAACATCACTCTGGGCTACAATGTCCATGACAGTAACTTCAATGCAGAAATGAATGCTGAAGCCCTGCTGGACCTGCTTTCTACAGGGGAGGCAAATGTTCCAAACTACAAATGTGGAAGAGAGAAAAACCTGCTGGCCCTCCTTGAAGGCACCGATTCTGACCTCTCCTACCATATTGCAACCATGCTGAGCATCTACAAAATCCCACAGGTAAGATTTGTGGATTTGAGACAAGATCTTAACTGATTTTGACCTAGGAAGTTCCCAAGCATTTAGCAGATGGGCAATAAATATTCAAGCTGGACTGCAGACCATAAAAGAGTTTTTAAAGGGGTGTCATAAAAGATGTTTTAGAGTTTTCCTGTTTTCTGGCAGAAATTTATTTTTCATTTATTAGGTCAATGAATTTTGAAAGGTAAAATCAGGTCCCTGAGGGAACATATTAGAAGCACCAATCTGTCAACCTTCAACCCAGTGAAAAATACTACCATTTGATTCCAATCATTTTTGAATACTTTACCACAATGCTCTGGGATTTCTCCTTAGCAAGCACGTTTAGCGGTGCAGGTGTAAGGATGCTTCTTTATCCAACTTTGAAAGCAATATGAGGAGAGATACTACACAGTCTGCCAAGGAAAAATATGGAAGACAAGAAATGATCACCCAGATCCAACTATGGATCTTGTAGTTCTTCTTCTTTTCTCTTTTTTTATTTATTATTAGATTTCTATACCGCCCTACTCCCGAAGGACTCAGGGCGGTGCACAGCCAAACAATAAAAACACATACAATACAAAATTTAAAAAATAGAATAAAATCAAATAAAATCAAATTAAATAATTTTGGCCCCGACAAATTTAAAACCCCAGACTTTTAAAACCAATTTAAAATTGAATATATAAATACTAAAAGATGTTTAAAATTTTAAAAATCTTTTATAAAAGAGGGGGAAAATTAGGCCAGGCCGGCCTGGTGAAATAGTAAGGTCTTTAAGGCGCGGCGGAAGGTGCGCAGATCCAGGATCCTCCGTATCTCTGGGGGGAGCGCGTTCCAGATAGTAGGTGCCCCCACAGAGAAGGCTCTCCCCCTGGGGGCTGCCAGACAGCATTGTTTGGCTGACGGCACCCGGAGGAGCCCCTCTCTATGGGAGCGTACCGGCCGGTGGGAGGCTATTGGTGGTAGTAGGCGGTCCCGCAAGTACCCGGGTCCTAAGCCATGGAGCGCTTTAAAGGTGGTAACCAAAACCTTGAAGCGCACCCGGAAGACCACCGGGAGCCAGTGCAGCTCGCGCAGGAGAGGTGTTACATGGGAACGCCATGTCGCTCCCATTACCACCTGCGCGGCCGCACTCTGCGCCAGTTGGAGCCTCCGGGTGCTCCTCAAGGGGAGCCCCATGTAGAGAGCGTTGCAATAGTCCAGGCGGGAGGTGACAAGGGCATCAGTGACCATTAAGCGCCAATCTGGTTTAGGACTTGATGAAATATGCTCAGGGCTATAGGTCAGTGGTGAAATGTAAATTTTGTTACTACCAGTTCTGTGGGCATGGCTTTGTGGGGTGGTGGTGGTGGTAATATGAGTGAGTGGGTGTGGCCAACTTTTTTTAAAAAAACTTTTAAAACCATTTTTTCTACAAAAAATGCTTTTAAAGCCTCTGGCAATCCCAGCTGACTTGCCTGATCAGCAGAGCCTTTCTTTTTTTTAAAAAAAAGCCTCTGACGATCCCAGCTGACCTGCCTAATCGGCAGAAGCTGTTTCTTTTTTTTAAGCCTCTGACGATCCCAGCTGATTTGCCTGATCGGCAGAGGCTTTTTTTCCCTTTAAAAACATTTTTTCTATAACCTCTTCGGCCAAAGAGGTTGTAGACAAAATGCTTTTAAAAGCCTCTGATGATCCCAGCTGAGCCGCGTGATCATCAGAGGCTTTTTATTTTACTTTTAAAAGCATTTTTTCGGCCAAAGAGGTTGTAGAAAAAATACTTTTAAAAATAAAAAGAAAGCCTCTGATGATTGCGCGGCTCAGCTAGGCAATGGGGGGGGGGGGGGGGGGGGTTTTTGCTACCGGTTCCCCAAACCACCCACTTCCATCGCTACTGGATCAGGGGATCCGGTCCGAACCGGGAGCATTTCACCCCTGCTATAGGTTGGTCTGGGATCTCAAAAAACAGAATAAGACAATGGCAACCATATTCGTATACTTGCCAGAAGAGCTAAATGGATATTTCCCTGAAGTCAACTGTTGCTTTATCTAGTATATTAAATTGAACAGGGCACTAGTCTCTTTAAGCACTGCTGGCTAAGAGTAAATACTTGGTATCCATTTGCCATAGGAATGGATAGGTTCCATAGTATCCTTAAGTTGGTTTCATGGACATCAATGGTACATATGATGGCAAAGTCATTACGTTTTTGGTTGTCTGTAAAAAGTGAGCAGGTTCCCATTCTGAAATGTGTTTCTTGTTGTTGTGAAAGATAATTGGGAAAGTGAAATGAAATTTTGGAAAGCTTTTGAAAGTATAGGAGAATATTAGGGAATATTATACTCTGCATCTAAATAGACACATATATTAAATAGTTTAATTTAACTAATACTTAGAAAGAGCTGGTGAGAATGGAGAACTGGACCTCCCTTGAGGAAATAAAACTAGTCTTGCTCCCTGTCACAATTATCCCCCAATTTACAATTTATTTACAATTTAAAGTAAAAAAAGAAAAGCTGATTTTGCTGGGCATGATCACTTTCTTCATTTTTTCTCCAGATCTCATATGCTTTTGTTTCTGATGATATGAATGATAAAACCCAATTTCCTTTTTTCTACCGGATGCTCCCAAAAGAAGGAACCCAATATGCAGGGATCATTAAACTGCTGCACTATTTCAGATGGACTTCAGTGGTTCTTGTCGCTCCAGAAACTGACAATGGAGAAAAGTTCTTGAAAGCTCTAACACCTTTACTGGCCAAAAATAGTATTTGTGTTGTTTTCGTGCAGTGGATCAGTGTAGTCCAAACTAGGCCATTTAACATGAACCGTGCTTTGTACTACAAATGGAGACAAGTCAATGTATTTATTTACTATGCAGAATCTACTTTGCAGAGTTTGTATTTCTATGGGATGGAAATCATCGAGAACGTATTTCAATTGTTGGTAAAACCTAAAATAAAAAAAATCTGGGTGGTGACAGCTATGTGGGATCTCTCTTTCAATTTGAGACCCAAAACTTTCCGATACGTTGATGGTATTTTCTCTTGCTCCATCCAGTCAAAGAACTGGATAAAATACGACACAGCTGAAGTTCTCTACTCTTCAATGAATCAGTTTGCCATGAAAGCTTTTACATGTTCATTTGAAAAGCATCCCTTCCCTGCTAAACGTTGGGTTAGATGCAAAGAGAGAGAAGAACTGGACACTCTGTCGCAGAAGGAGATTGAAAACACCCTTTCTCACAGCCATCATATTTACCACACCATCTGGGCTTTTGCAAGGACTTTAGATGCTGCCTCTTTCTCCAGATCCAGGGAGAGGCTGATAGGTGGACATGCCTTGAAACTGGAAAGGCTACGAGCTTGGCAGGTATTTCTTGCTCCATCAGAGAGATCTCCACTAAAATCAAGAATCTTGAATACTATCAGTAATGCTATTAATTACTATCAGTTGAGAATGGTAAAGTAAATGCAGTATAGCATATTTGTGAGTGGACATCAGAGTTTTTTCAAAAGGTATTTATTTTCGGTAATGACCAGCTTCATAGATTGGGATTGAGACTGATATGGCATGGAAGAGGTTGATTTTGGGAATAAAATAGGCTCCATGAAGAGACTGCTGCTTCTCTATTCAAGAGGTTCTGTTCTGTAAATGAGCTCCTTAAGAGAAACCTTTTGTCTATTGACACCACATATTTAATAAAAATGCATTGCTTTATGATAAATAATATTTATAATATCAAATTCTTTCCAAAAATGAAGAAGGTTCATAGGAACTCTGATATAAAATCAGCAATGAATCAGGACTGAGAAGGTGACTTTAATTGGTAGAATTTGTCTGGGCTAGAAAACAATGTATAATTGGGCTTGGTGAGTACTTGGGTGGGAGATTTACAGAAAATCCCAGGGTTGCAGACTGGACTGGGGAGATGCAAAGCATATCTGATCGAAACAATAGCAAATGATTCCGATGTTCTTGCCAAGAAAATTCCATTGATATATCCATAAAATGATCAGAAATTGAAGGTTTCTTCAACCAAAAAAAGGAAAAGAAAGAAAAAGAAAGAAAAAAAGAACTGAAAAAAGAAAAAAAAACTTGATTTCTTCATCTAGTGAATCAGAAAACCTAAGCTCGAGAAGGTTGTAATTGAAACCAAGTGATTCTTCTATTAAAGGCTGCAGTTTTTCTCACTGATGTTATCCTTACCCTGCCAGCTTCATCATTTCCTGCAGAACACCAAGTTTCACAACAGTTCCATGGATGGGGTGTATTTGGCCAAGAATGGCGAGTTGGCAGCTGACTTTGACATTGTGAACTATGTGAAATTTCCAAATAGATCTCTCCTTCGAGTGAAATTTGGAAGTTTTGCAAGAGAGAAATCCCAGGAACCCAGATTTGTCATTGACCAAGATACCACTGTATGGCCCCAGTGGTTTAACAAGGTAGCAAAAACCAATTCAGTCACCATATTTCTAATTTTTTTTATCACCAGTACTAATAAGTACAACACATTCTCTCTGCATCTCATTTACAAGTATCTGTCGGAATCTCACTGTGACTAGAGAGAATCTCTCCTTAAGGTTTGTCTGTAACATATGCTACTCTTTTTTCAGTTCAAGTGCTGTGTTAGGATTCCTGCATGAAAAACTATTTTTTTTTAAATTTGATAACTCCAAATTGCCTGCTTTGCACATGATATTGGGGAGCTAGCAGTCCTATGGTTCCTACCAGTGGTGGGTTCCTACCAGTTCGCCCCAGTTTGGGCAAACCGGTAGCAGCGGCGGGGGGAGGCTTTGCCCACCTGCCCAGACATCTGTGCACACGCAGAAGCTTCTATGCATGTGCAAAATTGTCATGTGCATGCACACACTCCCACTAGCAAACCTGTAGCAAAAGAAATTGAAACCCACTACTGATTCCTACAGAAGAAAACCTATAGTGAGTAATAGAAAAGACAGGAAAGTAAGGCAGAGTTTTGTAGGAAGAATGGTTTTGGGGAGCTGTTTTAAACTGTCACGATTCACTTCTCAGTTTAATAAACTGAATACATACATTATACAGTAACCTGATAAGGATTAGTCATAAGAATGTTCCCAATTTTGCTGTTTCAAACATATTTGGACTATATCTGAAATTCCCATCAAAAACGTTACTGATTCTACCTTACTATTCCTTTATTCAACAAGTCATCCTTAAACTGTATTCCTTTATGTTCCCCATTTTTTTCCTTCTGCTTAGAGTCTGCCTCCTTCCAGGTGTGTGGAAAGTTGTCAATCTGGATTTTTCAAAGTGGGTCATGAAGGGAGGCCCATTTGCTGTTACGACTGTGTCTCCTGTGCAGAGGGCACCTTCTCCAGTCAGGAAGGTGGGTTAAAAAAATCAGCAGCAAAAGCCTCTCTCCGAGGGAGATGGACACTGAAGAAATATGACAATAAATTAATACTTTCTGTAAATGTTTTGCCTCTGTGTTGTACCTTGCTTGTTCTGTTCATGAAACAAATGGTAAGGAACTAGGAAAAGGACAATCCCTCATTAGTTCATACCTAACTTTTATTATTCCTTTTATTCTGCTTAGGCAATTACCCTATAAGTTTCTTGTTACTGGTATGGAAAAAAAATAAAACAGAAAATATTAAAAATGTCCTTCTCTTCAGATGCAGATTATTGCACCAAATGTCCGGAAGATCAGCATCCAAATAAGGAGCAAGATCAGTGTCTCCCTAAGGAAATAAGCTTTCTCTCCTATCAAGAATATTTGGGAATCATTGTAGTTTCACTTGCAGCCTTCTTGTCCTTAATTACTGCCTTAGTGTTAGCAATCTTCACTAAATACAGAGATACTCCCATTGTCAAAGCCAATAATCGGAACCTCTCCTACATCCTTCTCATCTCACTCCTGCTTTCTTTCTTAACAACCTTCCTTTTCATTGGACGCCCAAGGAGAGTCACCTGCCTTTTTCGACAAACAGCCTTCAGCATAATCTTCTCAGTTGCTGTTTCTTCTGTCTTGGCCAAAACAATCATGGTGGTGCTAGCCTTCCTGGCTACAAAGCCAGGAAACAGAGTGAGAAAATGGCTAGGAAGGAGTTTGACTAACTCCATCATCCTTTGTTCTTCCAGTATTCAGGCGGTCATCTGCAGCATCTGGCTGGTGGTCTCTCCTCCATTTCCTGATTCTGATATGCACTCCCAGTCAGGAGAGATTGTACTTCAGTGCAACGAAGGCTCTCTTCCCATGTTTTATGTTGCTCTTGGTTACATGGGCCTCCTGGCCACCATCTGCTTCATAGTGGCTTTCCTGGCCAGGAACCTCCCTGGGACCTTCAACGAAGCCAAGCTGATCACCTTCAGTATGCTGGTCTTCTGTAGTGTCTGGGTGTCTTTTGTACCCACCTACCTGAGCACCAAAGGGAAGTACATGGTGGCTGTGCAGGTCTTCTCCATCTTGGCCTCCAGTGCTGGCCTGCTGGGCTGCATCTTCATGCCCAAGTGCTACATTATTTTAATAAGACCAGATCTGAACATAAAGGAACAGCTAATAGTGAATACATAAACCGTTCATTTTCTGCATTTTTCCTCTCCAGATTATAAATTTACGTACATCCTCTCCTGTCTCTAAAAATATTTGTATCAGACTTTAAGTTGTGTGGATTTCAGTTTCTACAGATTGTAACAATGATGATGTCAGATGGGAATTCTTGGAAGTCTATACATTTGCCAAGACTGGCAAATGCTGTTCTAGAAAATTCTTTAATATTAGAGGTGCCATCTCCACTTTAGTGGGAAGCATTTTCTATCTGTTTAGGATAATGGATTTACTTTTTTATGGCATTGTTATATTATTATTGTCTCTTCTGAAGCATATTCACGAAATGCTAGCATTGCAGAGTCAAATCAAATTTTATATTCATTGCAATACATAGGTGATTCTAAAAAATCTGCTTTTGTAAACTAAATGTTATATGATCAAATAATTTTAATTTTGCCAGTTATTTTGACAATTCCATTGTGGGTAGCTCCAAAAAATACTACAATTCTGAGGATAATTTTCTCTGGTTTATTCCAGAATCTCTTCCAGCTTTTTAACTGCACTGTTTTACAAAATTTTCCCATTGTTTTGGAGCATTTTATTTTATGTTTCTCTGTCATCACAATATAAAATGTATCCCTTACATAATAAAGATATTTTATTTATTTATTTATTTATTTATTGTTGCGATTTATATGCCGCCTTTCTCCCTGGGGACTCAAGGCGGCTTACAAAATGACAATTTCCAATACAAATCACAATGAAATAAAAATTAAAATCAGCAACCCTATTAAAACAATTTAAAATTATAACAGTGTATCCCCAAATGGATCAGTTAAGTTGATGGAAGAGCCACATCTTCAGCTTGCGATGGAAGGAAAGAAGGTCGGGGGCTGTCCTGAGCTCGGTGGGCAATCCATTCCAGAGGGTCGGGGCTCCCACAGAGAATGCTCTCCTCCTGCGGGCCGTCAGCCGACATGGCTGGATGGCCACGGACTAGTGGCTGGTTTGTTTCCCTATTCGGTCTCCTTTCCCCTATGGCCTGGTTTCAGGCATTACTTGGTCATCTGCCATCCGGATTATTTCCATCCGCCATGAAAAAACTCTCCCCTGGCCTTGAAAAACCCTCCCTGGATCCATCTTATCCTCTCTTGTTACCATCTTTAGTCTGCCCCCCTCGTCTTGGCTCTATATTCCATCTCATACCTTTTAGCCGTAAGGAGAGTTCTTGGCCTTTGGATTGTGGGTACTGAGGGAGCCTGGTTCACTTCTGCCGTTCTATTACCAGAGGTGACAGTCCATCTTTTTAATGCCAGCCACCGTGAGAGGGTGGTTTTTGGCATCTTTATCCTGGTTTCTTCTGAACGGCTGAGACTCCTTTTTCACTGCCGTGAGAGGGCAGTGGACTCCAGATGACCCATACCCAAAGGCTCTTTACTGTCTCTCCGGGACCATTTTACTGTCAATCATGATTGAACCCCCAGCCATATATCACCTTTACCCCAGGCTGTTTTCGGATGTATTCAGCGGCTGAACTTTTGGTGCTGCGAGATTCCCCCCTCTCGCAGATTTGGCCCTCCACACTATCGAGGGCCTACTTTGATGACGGGCTCTGGAACCCTGAGAGGTGGCATGCAGCGAAAAGGAGGCTGAGGAGTTTTCTCTCTAAATTTTTAACTAAATTTTTAAGGGGTTCTCGGGGGGGAGGGTTGGATTGGAACTAGGGTTGTGGGTTTGGGGGATAACCCAATGAGAGAGGAACTAGGCCCGGTTAGGGGGCACGGCATGGGAGGCGCAGGGTTCCGGGTCGATGAGGGGGTTAGAGTTTGTAACGAGGGCCAGTACATCAGTACTGTGAGTGGGAGGGGCAGATATGGCGGGAGTGGGGGGCCAAACCTGGTTCTGGGAGTGCGCGCCCGCTGCCTTCAAGCGGCGCGCTCCGGCCCCCAAGGCTCCTCTCGTTCCCCAGGTAGTCCAGATTCTCAGGGCCCAGATCTCTGGCTGATGTTATGCAATGCCAGATCCGTAGTAAATAAAGCCCCCCTCATTTGTGATCTAGTTCAGGAGGGGGGAGTGGATCTGGCAGGAATTATGGAGACCTGGTTGGGCCAAGATGGGGGGGTTCCCCTCGTTGAAATGTGCCCTCCTGGTTTCCGTGCATTTCATCAACCGAGGTCACAGGGTAGGGGCGGGGGGGGGGTGGCGGTTGTTATAAAAGAAGGTCTTGGTCTGAGGGAGGCCACTGTTCCTCAGATTGCCACTTGTGAGTCCCTTCTGGTGAAGTGGGGTCATGGGGTACAGGTGGGTTTGCTGATCACGTACCTGGCTCCCTGCCACATGGCAGCGGCCCTGCCTGAACTGCTCAATGTTATAGCCGGGGTGGCGGTTGATACCCCGAGGCTTATGGTCATGGGGGATTTTAATCTGCCATCCATCGGTGAAATGTCTGAGGCAGCGCGGGAGTTCATGGCTTCCATGACGGCTATGGACCTGACCCAGTTAGTGCATGGCCCTACTCACACGGGGGGAAACACTCTGGACTTGGTTTTTGTCTCTGGTCAGTGGTTGAATGATCTCAATATTGGGGATATAGTGACTGAACCCTTGTCGTGGTCGGATCATTCCCTCCTTCGCCTTGACCTTCGAACCACTACACCCCGCCGCAGGGAGGCGGAACCGATGAGGTGGTTCCGCCCCAGGCGCCTGATGGACCCTGATCGGTTCCAGACGGAGCTTGGGCCATTTCCTGAGGCTCTGGCTCATGGCTCGACCGAAGACCTGGTGGCCGCCTGGGATAGGACGGCCGCTGGAGCTTTGGATCGGTTCGTGCCTTTGCGGCCTCTGACCCGGCGCCGATCTCGCTTGGCTCCTTGGTTTACCGAAGAGCTGAGGGAGATGAAGCGCCGGAAAAGATGCCTGGAGAGCGGTTGGGAGGGCCATCCGGTCTGAATCTGACCGAACACTGGTAAGGTCTCATATTAAGACTTACCTTGTAGCGATAAAAGCGGCAAAATGTAACTATTTTTCCGCTCTTATTGCATCATCAGATAACCGCCCGGCCACCCTGTTTAGGGTGACCCGCTCCCTGCTCCTTCAGGAAGCACGGGAGGACCCCTTGGAGGGTAGAGCTGAGAACTTTGTACAGTATCTGTATGATAAAATCGCTCAGATTCAGGAACATCTGGACTCTGACGGGGTAGATTCAGGGGGGAGGATGGAGGCAGGTCTTGAGAATATTATCTGGGAAGAGTTTGATTCTGTGACTCCCGAAGACGTGGACAGGATACTGAGCAGACTGAATGCTGCCACATGTTTATTGGACCCGTGTCCCTCCTGGTTGATGCTGGCCTCTTGGGAGGTTACATGAGGCTGGCTACAGGGAATTATAAATGCTTCTCTGAGTGAGGGTGTCTTTCCCGCCGCCTTGAAAGAGGCGATGGTGAGACCTCTCCTCAAGAAGACTTCCCTGGACCTGGCAATATTGGCGAACTACCGTCCAGTCTCCAACCTTCGCTTTGTTGCGAAGGTTGTTGAGAGTGTGGTAGCACGACAGCTTCCTCAGTACCTGGATGAATCGGCTTATCTGGATCCATTCCAGTCTGGCTTCAGACCTGGGTACAGCACAGAAACGGCATTGGTCGCATTGGTTGATGATCTCTGGAGGGCTCGGGACAGGGGTTGCTCCTCTGTCCTGGTCCTATTAGACCTCTCAGCGGCTTTTGATACCATCGACCATGGTATCATGCTGCACCAGCTGGAAGAGCTAGGGGTGGGAGGCACCGTGTTGCGGTGGTTCTCCTCCTTCCTCTCTGACCGGTTGCAGTCAGTGTTGGCAGGGGGGCAGAAGTTGACCCCGAGGCCCCTTGTATGTGGGATGCCACAAGGGTCGGTCCTCTCGCCCCTTCTGTTCAACATTTATGTGAAGCCGCTGGGTGAGATCATCCGTGGTTTCAGGGTGAAGTACCACCAGTACGCTGATGACACCCAGCTGTACATTTCCACCCCGGACCACCCCAGTGATGCCTTTGAAGTGATGTCCCGGTGCCTGGAGGCTGTACGGATCTGGATGGGGAGGAACAGACTCAGACTCAACCCATTCAAGACCGAGTGGCTGTGGTTTCCGACATCCCGATATAGTCAGTTGGTGCCATCACTGACTATTGGGGGCGAGTCGTTGGCCCCCACGGAGAGGGCTCGCAACTTGGGAGTCCTCCTGGACTCACAGCTGTCTTTAGAAGAGCACTTGACGGCTGTGGCCGGGAGGGCGTTTTATCAGGTTCACCTGATTCGCCAGTTGCGTCCCTTTCTGGATCGGGACTTGTTAAATACGGTCACTCATGCCCTCGTTACTTCCCGCCTAGACTACTGCAATGGTCTCTACATGGGGCTCCCCTTGAGGAGCACCCGGAGGCTCCAGCTGGTCCAGAATGCAGCCGCGCGGGTGGTTATGGGAGCGACGGGGTGCTCCCATGTGACCCCCCTCCTGCGCGAGCTGCACTGGCTCCCGGTGGTCTTCCGGGTGCGCTTCAAGGTTTTGGTTACCCTCTTTAGAGCGCTCCATGGCTTAGGATCGGGGTATTTACGAGACCGCCTTCTGCCACCAGTAGCCTCTCACCGACCAGTATGCTCCAATAGAGAGGGGCTCCTCAGGGTGCCGTCGGCCAAACAATGTTGACTGGTGGCCCCCAGGGGGAGAGCCTTCTCTGTGGGGGCACCCGCCATCTGGAACAAGCTCCCCCCAGAGATACGGACGATCCCAGATCTGTGCACGTTTCGCCGTGCCATCAAAACTTTTCTTTTTCAGCAGGCCGGCCTGGTCTAAACTCTCTTTAAATTTTTAAACTTTTAAAAATTTTTAAATTTTATATTTGTCTTAAGAATTTGGGGTGTTTTAAATTTCGTTTTCCGGGCCAAATTATTTAATTGTATTTTAATGCTTTTTAACATTTGTATTATATGTATTTTATCTGGCTGTTCACCGCCCTGAGTCCTTTGGGAGTAGGGCGGTATACAAATTCAATAAA